CAGAGCATCATGCAGGTGGTCAATTACGTCCTGGCACAGCAGGCTGCAGTTAAAGTGGAAGAGGCTCCAGAGATCATCCAGACCATGGAGGTGGAGGTGGCGCATGTGGCCGAGGTGGAATGAGACATTGCTTATTTGGTCTTATTTTGTGTCATAATGTAAAAAAGTGCTCATTTATTTTTGTTGTAAAATGTAAATTAAAATAAGCTCAAAGGGTTTTTTCTGAAAACACCCTTGCTTCAGTGTGTTTGTCTGAGTGACTCAGTGCATGATGTGGATGTGTGAATGTTTGCATTATAGTAAACTATAATGTGTACATAAACAGAATAATTTGCATTGTAATACAGTAGCAATTAAGGATACAACAGATTAACAGTTTTTTTTTTGTAATTAGCTTACATTTTCTCATTCTCAAGGCTGCTTTTTTATTTTTTTGGTTATTTGTAACACACACGTAAGCTCTAACAGTCTTGGCAAAAGGGCCATAGGCTCTTTTCTGTGGTTTAATGCGGTGCCTCTCGGTCTCAGCTGAGTACTATGTATAGCTGCAGAAATGACAACCAAATAAAAAACTCCCTGTCTACAGGGATGCACCATGTGCTATATTTTTTTCCCCGTTTTGCATTTTATGTCTTGAAGTGTGAAAATATATCTATAAACGCCTCTACCAGCATCCCAAGATTTGAGTGAGCAGCCCTTATATAAATGTGCTATGATGGTTTTAATATAGTGCTAGCTGTTAGAAAGTCTGTAGAACTGTTGTAGATATATTTAATAGCCCAAGCTTTACAGTAAAAAGCGTTGTTGTTGTTTTTATCAGCTATTGTATTAAAGTATATGATAGTAATGCACTAATATTAGCTGGAAATGTATATGTTTTACAGTAACTTATTGAAAAAATTATCATACGCGTAATTGTGTATGAAAATAACATTTTAGTAATAAGGCTATACAATTCCTTTATTAAAGCAGGCAATGACATAAAATTTAACTTACAAAAGTGATTGTATATATGTAGAAAGCATGTTAAATACAATTAAAGTATTCGTTAGTTATTAAAATGTTTCGCTAACAGTTGCAAAACTTTGTGGTTTGAAGGACAGTAGCACAGTATACAGATTGAATGAAAAAAATAAGGTGTTTTTTTTTGTATATAGCATTTGTATGTGTGTGTGTATAGTTAAAGTCAGAATTATTAGCCCCCTGTTTATTTTTCCCCCACATTTCTAAACATAATAGTTTTAATAACTCATCTATAATAACTGATTTATTTTATCGTTACCATGATTACCATAAATAATATTTGACTAGATATTTTTCAAGACACTTCTATACAGCTCAAAGTGACGTATCAGGCTTAACTAGGTTAATTAGGTAATCTAAGCTGGTTAGGGTAATTAGGCAAGTTATTATATAATGATGATTCGTTCTATAGACTAAAATATAATAAAATAAAATATATAGCTTAAAAGGGCAAATAATTTTGACCTTGAATGGATTTTTAAAAAATTAAAAACTGCTTTTATTCTAGCCAAAATAAAACAAATAAGACTTTCTCTTGAAGAAAAAAAAATATTATCAGACATACTGTGAAAATTTCCTCTGTTAAACATCATTTGGGAAATATTATAAAAAGAAAAAAAAATCAAAGGAGGGCTAATAATTCTGACTTCAACTTTGTTTATATTCTAGTATGTTTGTATATACATAGCCTACTTTCTATTTTATTTAGGACAATAACTTTAATTAAGCTTGTCTGTCAAAATAGCATTATTTCAACTTTTGTTTAGCACGTTAATTTTTAAATGTTTAAATAATTGTCCTCCTGCGTGCCTCTTCCTATTCTGAAACCAACTTCATCTCCAAAGCCTTATGAATGTTCCCACATCCTCATATAGTCATGTGCGGCAGTGGTGTCTCGTGCTCATCCAGTGTATGTGAGCGCAGATGTTGCTCATCGCGCGTGAGGTGCGGCGCCTGAGGAGCATCACACTCTTCATCATCCGCTCTCCCTATGGCGAGAAACACCCTGGCTTGGTAAAGGACATTGCTCACTCTGTTTCATGTTTTACATCATTTAAATGTCCTTCGCTGTTCTCTAAAGCTGTATATGTGGTAGGTTAGTGCTGTGAAATGTGGTGTTTCGATCATGGCACGGGGTCTGATACCGTGGATCTGGCTGAAGCGACCCGTCTATATCCAGGTAAGACGTCAAATATGCATCGCATGTAATTTGTTTGTAAACGGCACCGAGCGTTCGGCTTTAATATCAGTCTGTGTACTTGGAATAATTGGCTTGTGAGATTTGAATGGATGAAGCGGGGATGCTGTCATCCCGTTTGGACTCAGAAGTTTCTGAAGGATTCATCTCTTAAAGCTTCACTCATCCAACAAGCGTTATTACAGCGACTGAATACATCCAGTGACACATCCGCGACTCTTTTCAGCAGTGTTTGCGACCATTATACGCCGGCCTCATTGAAAAATCTTGTTAAATGACCGAAATTACGGTTTTCGCAACTGAAAAAACAACAACCGGAGCATCAGAAGCTGGTGCTGCTGCGTTTTATCAATCGGCGGGTCTCTCGTTGCTGTAGCAACACTGCTGCTGTGTATATAGGCTATAACATTTGATAGTCCTGCTGAAAACATTTCCCCTACCTGTCAACATTTAATGCACAACATAAAGTGTGAATTCTCAACTTACTGGGGCGTTGAGTTTGTGTGCATCGAAGATGTATGGCCTCCTTTTAAACATCAAAACAGTTGGCTACAGAGTATTGTCAAGCTCATAAACTATATTGATCAAAGTTTTGAGACCCCACTTCAAAGCGTTTAATTCAGGTGTGCCAATCACTTGCATGTCCACTGGTGTACAGAATCAAGCACATATGCAGACTGCTTCTACTAACATTTGTGAAAGAATGAGTCGCTTTCAGGAGCTCTGTAAACTCAAGAACCGTGTTGTACCTGTGCAATGTGCATTTGTAAAATTTCCTAACAACTAAACATTCCCTGGTCAACTGTTATTATTACTAAGTGGAAGCAATTGGAAACAACAGCTTCTTTAGCCATGATGTTTAAGTAAAATCATGAGTGCAGCACATGCTGAGGTGCACTGTGCCTCGATGTGTTTCCATGGCCAACAGCTGCAGCCAAGCCTTACATCACCAAGTGCAATGCAAAGTGTCGGATGCAGTGGTGTAAAGCACACTGCCAGAGTAGTGGAGACGTGTTCTCTGTTATGCTTCTCTGTCTGACAGTCTGGTGTATGAGTCTGAATTTGGAAATTACCATGAGAAAAGCTACTCGGTACTTGCCTGCATTGTACAAGTGTAAAGTTTGGTGGAGGGAGACTATGTGTAACCCCGCCGGTCCTACACCATCCAAACTGCCTCAAACTGGGATCGAATTGGTGACTTCCCGCATGGGAGTCGGTTGCTTTAACAAGGAGCCTTGGTCTGTTGCTTCTGTTGCTAGTGCACCTTTTGAGGTCAGAAGAGGGAGGTTTACCTGCACAGCAATTCACTAGCTGGCCTTCGTTACATATGCTTGTTTTTCAGAGGTTGTGCTTGGCCCCTTAGTTCCAGAAAAAAGAGTACTCTTAATGTCTGAGCACACCTAGACATTTTGGACAATTTCATGCCCTTATTTTTGCGGAAATGGTTTGGAGATGGCCCTTTCCAGTTCCAAGATTACTCCAGGTTCATAAAGACATGGATGAGTTTGTGATAGAGGAACTTGATTGGCCTGCAAAGAGTCCTGACCTCACTCACTCACTCCCTCCCTCACTCACTCACCACAGACGAATTAACTGCCAGTTACTCTGGCATATGTTTGTCCCAGCACCCTTCAGTGCTGGGAAACAACCCCACACTCTCCCAATTTGACTTCCACCTTATAGAACCTTTTTTAGATGAATTGGAATAAAGACTCCAAGCCAGGCCTTCTTGTCTAACATCAATGTCTAACAATAAAAACAAGCTTCTAGAAGAATGGTCAAAAATTCCCATAAACACTTCTAAAACTTGTGGAATGTCTTTCCAGAAGCTGTTATAGCTACAAAGGGTGGACCAATCCATATTAAACCCTAAGGTTGTCCTTAAAGTTTATGTGCATTTAAAGGTAACGTAAAATGTCCCAAACTTTTTGCAATATGTATTTAACCGAAGAGAATAAAAAACCTAGTTAGGCAACTATTTGCTTTTTTTAGTGACATTTACCTGTAATTGCCCAAAATAAAGCTTCTGCAACAGTGTGCTAATGATTAGATTTAATATTTTTGTATTTCTATTTTAAAATGCAAGCAAAAGTGGATGTAAAAAACACAAAATGACAAAAATAATTCGTCTCTTCTTCATAACCATTTTTGAAGTACCTGAATCATGCAAAATTCTTATTTGACATAAAAAGCACCTCAAACCTATTTCAAGAGTTCCCACTTAGATATGCTTGGCATTTATAGCAGCTTTGGCATGCTGTCCCGGGAGAGAACCCTGAGCTCGGAGATATTTGAGCCCAGGGCTCCCGCCCGGTCTAGAAGCATATCAGGAGAACCGAGATCAGGTAGGTCTCGATCGCTCCCCCTTTAGAGGGGGAGAAACAGGAGGAAATGGGGTGGAAGAGGGGATTCTTCCAAAAAGAAGATAGAGCAATAAGCAGAAAGTGATCCATTTATATTAAGCTAGGATCATTCTGATTGGATTATTACTGATTACGGATGAGTGGCCAGCGGTGCATAATCATATCACGTGCTCCTCTCGAAATTAGTTTATGTAACTTCACTAGTTTAAATCAGAGAATGTTACTGATGTACTGAATGTTAGCTGATTTTCAAAACAGGTGTCAGATAATAGATGGTACTTAAATTTTAGCTCACACTCTTTCACAATAAAGCTCCGTCTTTATTTGATTGTTCATCTCAGTCACACTGATCAGCGCTGTCAGACTGCTGAGGGTGTCATGGACTCAGTTTGAAAATTTCTTTGTAATGTTTCACAAGCAGTGTGAATAACTGATAATTACCTCAGATGGTGTTCTGTGTTGTCTGAGTAATATGTATGTTCATCTGTGGAAATCTTATTCTTAAATCAGAGGTGAAGGCTGTGGTGGATCATCTGAAAATGAGCTTAGTTGTTTTTAGTTCCTCAAAATGAAGGAAATGGCATCAGTGTTGTGGTGTGAGGGATGAGCGGTTCAGACTTGGATGGCAACCCTCCTTTAAGCATTTTGTTTATCTTCTGAAAACTGTAATCCTGTGTGCTTTCAGCAGCTTACTGAGTCTTCTCCAGTGCTGACTGTCCTCACACACAGAGTCGAGCTTACTGGCTTACAGGAGCACAGGAGAGAGTGAACATGTGAGAAACGTGCTGTTCTGTGGGCCAAATGAACCTCAGAGGCTGATATTCACATGCTTTGCATTGGAACACTATTTTAGTTAGAGGCAATGACAACAACTGCCTGTGAGTAAGACTTCATTTTGCTTTCCATTATGAATATTTTGGGGAATTTCAGCCACAGTTAAACCCTGATGCTTTCTGGGCAGATTTTATTTATTATCTGAGATCTGCTTATATGCCTGAAGGATCTGCCGTGGTGCTTTGACTTCTGTAACTGCTTCTCCTCTAAATGGATAAACTCTGAATAGGCTGCTTTATTTCATCTACATAAAGCATTCTATTTAGAGGTCATGCGCTCAGAGAATTTATTATAAAATAACAGCTTTAAGCTCTCAAACATTGTATGGAAATAATTAGAAGAGCGTGCTTCATAAAATTCACAAGGTTAGCATGATTAAATTCCTCTGGACACAATGGTTGTTGTTCAGGAGGTGAGTTTCTCACATATTTTATAAACAGAGTCCTCTCAAAGCTGCACCAATAGCCAACAGAATAAAAATATATATGATGACAGATTTTCAGATCTGCTGTTCATTAGTGTTCTCAAATGAACAGAAATGGCAGTTAGATACACACCTGAAATCTGACTGGAATGGATTTTCATGATTTTGCATGTTAAAGCAAAAACTGTAAATTAATAATTAACTGAAGTAAATGTTTTATTTGTTTTTGTTGGTTTGTTTGTTTGACTAAATCAGTGATGCCCAAAGTAGGGCCCGCAGGCCAAAGTTGGCACATTGTAACCTTTGGTTTGGCCCACCATCCCATTTGAGTAGAGAGGAAGAAGGATGGAAAAGGCTCTGGCAAATGCCTTTAGAAAAGATCGTCATTTCTAATTTGATGTAACTTTTTTTGTTTGTTAATTTTATTGGTGAGCTACAAAAAAAAAAAAAAACTGAAATAAAATGTTTCATCTAAATGTTGTAAATGAACCAGATGTTTTTCAAATCTACAGTAAATAATGCCAGTATGGATATAGGACTATGCAGAAGACATCAGTGATTACATCAAGGCAAAAACCAGTGTATCTCCATTCTGTTATAAATTATTGTTTTGGTTTTACTGTAATAAGTTCATTATAAAATATTTTTTAAAAAGCAGTATTGATCCATGTAAAGCTATGTTTTCTAGTTATTTATAAGTATTATTAAATAAATCAGGAAATTATACATGGCAACAATATTTAACTTCGTCCCTCAATCCTCAATCAAGTCTGGTTTTTGGCCCATCATAAGAAAAAGTTTGAGCACCCCTGGTCTACCCTTTGAACAAATCAATAAGAAATAACACCTTGGTATAATACAGTTATAATGAGCTTCTAACATCAAAAGTGCCCAGTGCTGTTCAAAATATTTTATATTTATATAATTACAACCTAATCTGTGTGATTTTATTTTTATTTTTAATCATGTCAATCCATATTGTGTGTTTTTGCGAGCAAGATTGTTTTATATATACTGTACATGCCAGTGCTCATGTTAATACAAATACAATGTTTGTTTTATTTGTTAAAATTACATAAAAACAGTTTATCTTAAAATATAAAGATTCTATTTTGAGTAATGTATTTGAATATTCTTGTGCTCAATCACTCGTTTAAATAATAGACGTAGACATCTAAAGCTCTTCTGTGACATGTTGCTCTTAGTTATTTAAGGTTCCTCTTTTTGCAAAAGGTTTGAAACTATAACACTGAGAGTATCAGTCATTTGGGAAAAGGGGCATTCAATAGAGAAGACTCCATAGGGAACCTCCAGACAACAAGTCCAGACAAACTTTCAGTTTTAAAAAGATAAGCAGGAAAGTAATATGAGTGGCCCAATACAAAATACCACATGGTTATACTCCTAAGCACTGTAGAGTTCCCAGTCTTTGGTCCCAATAGACTGAACATTTCTTCACTCAATTCTCACACTGCATAGGTTTCGTTAAAATGTTCATATGCCAGTATGTAACAAGTATAATCTGTTCTGGTGCAAGAGTCCATATATACTGCACTGCACTGCACTTTAATTCAATGCAAGCAGTGCTTTTGAAAAAAAAAAAAGTTGTATCAAGCAACACGGCCTGACTCAATGTGACTGAAAATCCATACACTGCTCTTTCATCCAGAAGCATTCAGGGCTATATCTAGGTATGATTCGATGAAACAAGATCTTGGAGATTTTCATAATAAAGAGTGGCTCTAGGCTCTTAGTGCATCAGAAAGATCTTACAATTCCACAGCCTTCAGAGTGCCTACTTAGATTTGTGCCCACTTTATTATTGCCTACTTTGTTTGCAAGGCTTCTGTCTTGTTTAACCTATATAAACAGTACCAAATAAAGTAATATATACACGCTCTTTCTCTGCAGCGTGAAGCTTGGTGCTCATTTCTGCCATATTTTAGTCCTGTTTAAGGATCTGTCACAGTCAGGCAACCGTGCTCCTCCATTTCGTTCCCATGAGAATAAAAAAACCAGGTCTCCTATTTACTATGAGTGTCAGGCTGACCCTCTTTGCTTCCAGTGCAGCCCAGAGGAACTGTGTCACAAATTAAATGAGGTTATATGGTAGGACACATTTAAATATTAAATATGAATATATAGCAGCATGATGGCAGTTGATGCATAATGTATTATAATACAACAAGAATTCTTGATCATTTAGACACATCACAATTCTGATTACATTTAAATACTTTGTATAGGATGCTATAAAATGAGAAATGTGTGAGCATGATATATTATAATCAACACCAAAGCTAAAACTTGTACTGATTTAACAAAACAAAAAATGTACACCACCTTGAATATGTTTTGTTAAGAGGTCTAATCAACAGAAAGTATTACATTAAGTTTTAAGTAAAAAAAAAAAACAAAAAAAAAAACACCTGTATTTGAATAAGAAATGCATAATCTTTTCATTCATAAAGATGTTAGGTGACCACACTTCTAATGAATATAAAATAACTAACAAAATAGTTTTGGTTAAATGTACCCAAATATATTGTCTAAATTCACTGAGAAATGGATGAAAATATATTTACTTTAAAAACGGTGTAATCTTATACAGTGTATACGGAAAGTATTCATAACGCTTCATTTTTTCCACATTTATTTATGTTGCAGCCTTATTCCAAAATGGATTAAATTCATTTAATTCCTCAAAATTCTACACACAATACCCCATAATGACACTGTGAAAAAAAAATATTTTTTGAAATTCGGACATGATTTGAAAAGGCATGCACCTGTCCATATAAGGTCCCAGGGTTGACAGTGCATGTCAAAGCACAAATCAAGCATAAAGACAAAGGAACTATCTGTAGACCTCCGAGGCAGGATTGTCTCAAGGCACAAGGCTGTGGGTGATTACAAAAAAGTTTCTGCTGCTTTTAAAGTTCCAATGAGCACAGTGGCCTCCATCATCCATAAGTGTAAGATGTTTTTAACCACCAGGACTCTTCCAAGACCTAGCCAGCCATCTTACTGAGTGATCTGGGGAGAAGGGCCTTAGTCAGGGAGGTGATCAATAACCCAATGGTCACTCTGTCTGAGCTCCAGCATTTTTCTGTGGGGAGAGGAGAACCTTACAGAAGGACAACCATCTCTGCAGCAATCCACCAATCAGGCCTGTATGGTAGAGTAGATGGAAGCCAATCCTTGCCTGGAATTTGCAAAAAGGCACCAGAAGGACTCTCAGACCATAAGAAACTAAATTCTCTGGTCTGATGAGATTAAAATTGAACTCTTTGGCACCACTCATGACCAGACTAATACCATTCCTACAGTGAAGCATGGTGGTGGCAGCATCATGCTGTGGGGATGTTTTTCAGCAGCAGGAACTGGAAGACTAGTCAGGATAGAGGGAATGCAGCAATGTACAGAGACGTCCTGAATGAAATCCTGTTTTAGAGTGCTCTTGATCTCAGACTGGAGTGACGGTTCATCTTCCAGCAGGACAATGACCCACAGCACACTGCCAAAATATTAATGGAGTGGCTTCACAACAACTCGGTGAATATCCCAGCCAGAGCCCAAACCTAAATCCTATTGAACATCTCTGGAGAGATCTAAAAATGGCTGCACACCGTTACTTCAACAAACTTATGTACATGTGATTTTTCTGCTTTTTTATTTTGATTAAATTTACAATAATAAAAAAAAAAAAATCACAGTGTCATTATGGGGTATTGTGTGTAGAATTATGAGGAAATAAATTAATTTAATCCATTTTGGAATAAGGCTGTAACATAAAATGTGGAAAAGGTTAAAGCTATGAATACTTTCCGAATGCACTGTATTCATATACTGTATTCATACAAACTGTTATACCAAAAAAGTGTAAGATATATTTACCCAAATCATCTATTTTCTATATTTGACATTTATATATTGAGTGTGAAATGAATGTGTGTATTTCAGTTGAAAACAAATCAGGATTTGAAAAATTAATGACTCTGCCAAGACAAATGATCGTATTCATTATATGGAAAAAACAACATAAGCAAAAGTGACGCAAGTGTTTCCATCTCATAATAGAGCAGCTGCTCTGAAATGACAGCTTGTGAAGCAGTGAACAAGATGTTGCTATGTCTAGATCATTTGTTGTTGAGTCACATTTCACAGCATAGGAGCAACCAATCATCATTCCGCGTTTATCATGTGAATCTGTGTATCGGCCTCGATCGCAGCCCTCCTGAGCTCCAGCGGTGAGCTTGATGTAAACATTTTGGACTGTTGCAGTGTTGAGTCAGTGTGTGGATGAATGTGTCCCATGGGGCGAGAGGAGTGAGAGGAGCGGGATGGGGTGCCTGATTGCTGGTTGTTCTCCTAGAGATGAGTCAAATGAGACCTGCAGTGCCTGTGTGACATCTGCTTCCATCAGAGCAGTGCCGCTTGGGAACTCATCACACTTATAATGCACCAGAGAAGCTTTTTCTTGTTCTTCATGCCACTGTTTCTTTTAGTGAAAGAATAAGCTTGTAAATGCTTTTATGTCGGTAAAGGCATTAAATCCGACTTGTTTTTTGTGGGACAAACATTTTCATTTCAACTTTCATCAGTACTTCATGAAAGTAT